ATTAGATAGAATGCGCCAGTTTGAGTCCACAGACGGCTTAATTTTTTGTGATGTTGTGGTAAGTGTAGTAGGTAATACCAGTCTTGAGGCATTGGATATTTTAGATCTTGTGATATTGTGACATTTATCCCACACCTGTTGTAGTACTCGATCATTGTATCCTCTTTCTTTAAATGTGTTCCACATTTCACGTCTGTGTTTGGGCTTTCTGTGGATCAGAGTTGTTTCTGCGTACTCGTAAAAATTGTGAGTAGGGGAGTGATGACTTAAGATGTGTCGGATGGAAGTTCTCGGCATATAACAATGTATTCCTATCAGTCGGTTTGGTATACAGACTGTATGCAAGTTTGTGGCCCTGTCCGTATATGTGCACATCCAAAAAGTCCACATCCTCTGAGTTTGCGGTCATAGTTAGCTTGACCGGTTTATTTGCTGTGTTGATCTCATTGATCATACTGGTGATAGAGTCCAGACTACCTTTCAAAATTATAAACAATTTATCGATAAAACAAAGATTCAAAAAGATGTTGCTTGCATATGTTCTTAGGATATCTTCTCTTTCAAAGGTGTACATGTAGCCATTCACATAGTTGGTGCCATTATCATCCCTATATATATATATATATATATATATGTAATTCAATGCAGCCATTCTGTCTGATAACAATGCAGCTGGGTTGTCTTGGATACTGAACATTCCCTCCTCCATCAGTCAACTGTATCCTGTGAGCCAGGATCTCTTTTGGACATATGTCAGTCTTCCTAGGTTATGGTTATGTCTCTCAGCCTATCAGAGGAGGGGATGTAGCTGAGCGAAGCAGGGGAGTGAAGGAACGGGAGACACATTGCTCTCCTTGTAAGCAGGTCAGAAGTAAGTCTACTGCATTTATTATTATTATTATTATTATTATTATTATTGGCATTTATATAGCGCCAACAGATTCCATAGTGCTTTACAATATTATAAAAGGGGGAGATTTAACAATAAATAATACAATTACAAAAAACTTACAGGAACAATAGGTTGAAGAGGACCCTGCTCAAACGAGCTTACAGTCAACAGGAGGTAGTTTTTTGCCGTTAGTGTATGCACTGCCAACAAACAGGCCGTAAACTGAAATCGGAGGTGTCCTCAGATCCCAGTTCATTCATATTCAGAGGAACTGTATGAATTTGGGGGACTTCAAAGTTCAGGCAAAGAAGGTAAAGCAAGAATTTAAAGAAAAGGCAATTGGTGGAATGTCAAAATAAAAAGGATGATGGTGATAATTCTAACATTTTCAGATTCTGTTTGTATTTCATGTTGTATTTTATTTTAATACATTTATTTTTTTATGTTCTCAATTTTAGTTATTTATCCCTGATCAAGAGCTGGTTTATCCAGAGGACAAGAGTGCCACCTACATTTGATACAAAACTTTGTACACGCAGTGTCAGTGGTTTCCTAGGCTCTTCAAAAGGTGAGCACAATATACAGTGCCTTAAAAATAATTTACCAGCCTAAGGATAAAGCACTAGATCCTGTGGATTTCTCAGTATTTTTGGAGCTGAGACTAGGTTTAGGTGATGTGCCGTCTTAAATGCACAGAAGCAAAAAGGACCTGAGTCATCATCATCTTAGGCTCTAATATAAGTAAGTGGGTTATCTCACATTTTCTATATACACAAAGGCTGCTGTTGTACTGTATTACACTATATTTATCTGTGTTGTATTTATTTATTTATACTGGCACAAGCTTATTGGAACCCTAAAAAGTTAGGATAAGTATTTGGATACACTTTTGGATATGTTTTTTTAAAAAACATGCTTTTCGAATGAGAATATTGTGATGCAACAGATCATCATTGGCCCATAATGCGTTAACTAAACTTCAATGCTGTTTTCCATTTTGACATTCTTGTTGTGTTTGTTTATTTAATTTAAAGCATAGCAGTTCTATTACATTGGAGACCAGAGATTGTGAACATGATGAACATAAGCCAAGAACATTGATATTGTGTGCTTCACACAACTGTTTTTGGTAACATGCTTTGCATAACTGTCGTAGTAAAATATTCATTATTCAAACAAGAATAAACAATCCAGAGCAGGATAAACCTATTTAACAAAAAAAGTATGTGCTTGAAGTCATTATTCTCTTGATACAGGCACAAGAAAACACAAAACAACCCAAAATAAATCCATCTCTATAACTTCGAGTGCACAATGTTTCTCTCAGTATGGGGTTTACATATTGTTGTGTCAAGTACAATGCTGACAAGCATGTTCACGCAGCTTAATCCTTTTTTTGATCAGATTTCACACAAAAAATCCCAAATGATAGCAATGGACAATTAAAGATAATATAACTTCATTTTGTTGTTGAACATGGTAGTAATGTGTGAGCACGGTAGACTCACACATATGAGTCTGGGGAGAAAATAACTGGCATTATGTGAGTAAAGGAAAATTGAATGTAATAATGACTAGAGGGGTGAGCAAAATGAAAATGGATAGTTTTTTTTTTTTAAAGAAAAGCATGCTAGCATTATCTAGAGAACTAATTAGACTAAAATTTATTTTCCTTCCAATGATATCTGCAAAGAAAAAAAAGACACTTTTCATATTTGCAAAACTATTATCAATTCATTGATATTTATAAACATGTATATATGAATGTTATTAAATTAGCAGCTATAGGTGAAATATTGTCTGATCACGTATATACATAATAACACTGCACATTGCGTGGGAATTGTCACTACACTGGATTTTATTTTGAAGCAAAACATTAAAGGACCACTCTAGGCACCCAGACCACTTCAGCTTAATGAAGTGGTCTGGGTGCCAGCGGTCCAGCTAGGGTTAACCCATTTTTTTTTAACATAGCAGTTTCAGAGAAACTGCTATGTTTATGAATGGGTTAAGCCTTCCCCCAAATCCTCTAGTGGCTGTCTCATTGACAGCCGCTAGAGGCGCTTGCGTGATTCTCACTGTGAAAATCACAGTGAGAGCAAGCAAGCGTCCATAGGAAAGCATTGATAATGCTTTCCTATGCGACTGGCTGAATGCGCGCGCTGCTCTTGCCGTGCGTGCGCATGCAACCGACGAGGCGGAACGGAGGAGGATCGGAGGGGAAAGCTCCCCGCCCAGCGCTGGAAAAAGGTAAGTTTTTACCCCTTTTCCCCTTCCAGAGCCAGGCGGGAGTGGGACCCTGAGGGTGGGGGCTCATACTCGTTTTCCTGGCACTATAGTGGTCCTTTAAATAAAACATTGAAAATCACCTGTAATCAAAGTTAACATTTTGTCTTGAGATGCTGTGTTTTATTTTATATTTCTATTAAACATTTAGCAAATAGCATCATAACCCAGTTCAAATAAGGCAAGCATTGTTTAATTTCTCTTATTATATGTATATTGTTCCAATGCTGGCTGCTTGGTGCAAAGGATAACACTTATAAACAACAATTGACAAGGAACTAAGATGGAGGCACCCATTTGCAGAATAAATAGAGGTTGTTTTCTACTTTTAATTTTATATTTCACACCTCCCAAATACATATTTGTTAATTTTTGTGGATAAGTAAACATAATATCAAAAATCCTGTGAAGTGATTGTCCCTCTCTACAAACTATAGTAAAACTATATCTTATCTTGCGTACTTGATGAAAGATTATTATATTAGTAGGAATACACACTGTAACAGAGTGTTGGGGATGGTGGTCAGGGGTGTATATCTGGCACCCAGACTTTTGCACAGCCACTATCCTGACATGTGGGTAAGCACATGCAGCCCCAGGGAAAGTTAAGTTTAAATGTAGGTTTTTTCCTCTGTTGTTATTTGGGTCCCTGGGGTGGAGTATTCGGAAGAGCAGGGTGGGCCGATTCTCCACCCACTGTCAGAGTGGTTGTGCATGAGTCCAGCCCAGGTTTTCCATAGAGTTCTGGCTCACTGCCTAACGAGGTCATTAGCCTCACCTGTAGGGGCTGTGAGCAGCTATATAACTGCAGTTAAAGCAGGGTGAAGTGAGGGAAGTGTTTTTGTGGAGAAAGAAGGTGTTTTTGTGGAGAAAGAAGGTGTTTTTGTGGAGAAAGAAGGTGTTTTTGTGGAGAAAGAAGATTTGCTGTTAATTGTATCCTGTTACTTCACAACAACAGAAAATAAACAGGCCAGAGGCCTTTTTGAAACTCTTGACCTGGTTTCCTTACCTTAGAGGGCTGTGCGGTTGCCAAAAGATCCTGGACAAACACACACAGGAAAGTAAGTTTATCACAACACTGTTGCATAAAAGACAAACAGCTTCATCAGACATTGCACGGTATCTAAAGACGTTATGTTGGGTTTTCTGATACACAATTATCTAGATGGAACAAGCAACGAATGCACATGATCGACATAGTAAGAAGTCAATAGATGAAGAAACATCGAATGAATCAATATATATTACAAGTATGCTGTGAACTATTATTAAAAACATTATTTACATGTTTGAAACATTTGCAAAATTCTCAAGCAGAAAATGTTACCCTCATCTTTCACCTAGATCAATGCTAAAGAAGGCAAGGAACAACAAAAAAGATATTGAATTATATTGCTGACATATTCTAAGATAGCTTCAAATAAATTTATAACATCAATCACGCACTTACCTGATAAGAGATTAAAATAGTAACAGCAAACAGTCACTACATAAGCCAACGTGTTTAAAAGAATAGCTTACCTTTCCTTAATCATCCCTGATAAAGATGTAAGGAATAGAAATGCTTCCAACCCTTCATTGCATGATAAAATGTAACTGTATTCTGTATAAAGTCCACAGGTTCAACAGGAAGGATGCATAGTGAAGTTTTAATGAAGACAGGAACATATAAAAATGCGACATGTCAACCCAATTGCATTAATCAATGGCCTTAATCTCTCCACAATAGTATGCCAGGAAGTATGTTTGTTTCCCAGGAGTGCCATACCACTTTGTATTCTTGATAAAAGGTAACTAATAGGATAAGCACTATTTAAATTACATCAGTCATCAACTAAATTCATGCAATCATTTCAATTCATCTGTCAATTACTAAACACGTGGATATAAAGATCACATTAGTGTGATTACATTGGAATATCTAATTTCCCCTCTGTGATAATTAAAGGACCACTCTAGGCACCCAGACCACTTCAGCTTAATGAAGTGGTCTGGGTGCCAGGTCCAGCTAGGTTTAACCCATTTTTTCATAAACATAGTAGTTTCAGAGAAACTGCTATGTTTATGAATGGGTTAAGCCTTCCCCTGTTTCCTCTAGCGGCTGTCTCATTGACAGCCGCTAGAGGCGCTCTTGCTTCTCACTGTGAAAATCACAGTGAGA